CCGCGCGGTCAGCGAGGACACCTCCCGCCTGGAGGGGAAAGGTGAGGAGCTGGTCAGGGCTGGGTTCGGACCCGTCCCCATCGTGCCCGCCACCCCAAGACCACGTCTGTGCACACACACACACGCACACGCACACACACACACACAATTCGTGCCCTTCTAGGTCACCACCTCCTGAAACATGCCCTCCCAGGCTCGTCAGGGCTCCACCCCCCGGGCCCTGCCCCCCAAGATCTTCCCGTCTTCGACCCCCAGAACCCACTCACCTCAGGTCCTCCAGGCCGGCAGACACCTTCTGCACCTCCTGCTCACTCATGACGAAGCTCCTGCAGCTGGGCTTCCTGCCTCCGCGGTGTCTCGTCCTGCAGCTGCTGCTGGAGGTAGCGCAGCTTCTCCTGATGGGGGGCAGGGTTAGGGCGTGGAGCCCCTTGCCCCCCACTATCACCTCCACCCCCAGATCCACCCAGTGAGTCCCTGAGATTGGAAAGTACATGGGTGTGGGGGACAGGATATTGGGAAGTCCAGCTGGGAGTCTAAATGGACTCCCCCTTGCCGTTACTTGGGGACCTTTCTCCCATTTTTTTAAAAAAATATATTTTATTGATTTTTTACATAGAGGAAGGGAGAGGGATAGAAAGTCAGAAACATGGATCAGCTGCCCCCTGCACACCCCCTACTGGGGATGTGCCCGCCGGAAAGTACGTGGGTGTGGGGGACAGGATATTGGGAAGTCCAGCCTGGAGTCTAAATGGACTCCCCCTTGCCGGTACTTGGGGACCTTTCTCCCATTTGAAGATGCCTGCCTCCCTGTCTCCATTCAGCCCTGCACCCCCCACGTCCTCCACCCCCCACTCCAGTCCTCCAAGGTGTCAGTCTCTCCTGTTTGGGAAGAACACTTGAAACTTTCCCAACATTTTGCCGGGAGATGTGTGGGCATATGGGCGCCACAGACATTCCCGCTCGAACTCCAACACGTGTCTCTGTCCGGGACCTATTACTGTGCACAGAGAGGTATGACCGTGAACATGAAGGGGGCGGGGTGATAGTGGGGTGGGAAAGGCCCGCCTGAAGTCTGACCAAGTACCCTGTCCCCAGTCCCGGGACACCCGCCGGCCCCCTTACCTCCAGCAGGGCAGAGTTCTGCTTCAGGACGTTGGTTTTTATTTCAGCATCTTCCACCGAGCGGGTCACCTTCCGGCAGTTCTCCTGGGTCAGGACACCAGGGCAGGGGCCCTGCCTTCCCATTCCAGTTCTGCCTCCTCGCCCTTCCCCTCTATTTCCATACAGGCTCCAACCCCAGATAACAAGGCACACCTCCCCCCGCGCCCCCACAGCCAGTGTCTGCCCCCTGCTTATGGTTCTACCCCTTGGGAGCCTGGCTCCCTTGGTTAAAGGGATGACTTTCTCCTTCAACCTGTCCTGTGCCTGTTTCCACTCCCCCACCCTCTCATGTCCACCCACTGCATTCCCCCCACCCTCTTCCTAAGTCCACTCCCTGCTCCCCCCACCCCACTCCTGCCCCCCGCAGCAGGCTCACCTTGAGTTGACTACAGTACCCTTCCAGTTCTTCTGCCTCTTGCCGCCTTCTCTCTAGATTCTCGCTCAGCACAGAACATTCACTCTGGAGCGTGGAAGGGAGGGGGCAGGGTTAGGGCGTGGACCACAGGGGGCACCCCACTTTGCCCCCCCCCCCCCCCCCCCCGTGGTGGGGAGAAGCTAGGCCTGGGAAGACGGCTTTCCTTTCTGAGCCTCTGGCTTCCCAGCTGGGCTATGGGCTCACTGAGTTGGTGGAGGGGCCTAAGAGAGCCAAGTGGCCCCGGAGGAAGAGGAGGTGTTGGGGGGAGGGCGGTCCGCACACCTGCAGCGTCTGCACATGCTGATTGACCCGGGTGGTTTTCTCCTTCAAGCTGGTGATAGAGTCTTTGGCGCGAACCAATCCACTATTGACCCCGCTCTGGGGAAGAATGAGAGACAGGTGGGTGGGAGCAGAACCCCAAGCCCGAGAACCAGTCTAGCACCGAGAGGAGGCTCAGTGGACACCTCGATTCTGCCCTAGAGTGGCCGCGCGTGACCTTGATTCCAGGTACCCCTGCTCCGAAAGCCAGGAGCGGACGTGGCTTCCCCTTGGTGGTGGGAAGAACAATTAAGTAGGACCAGGAGGGAGTGGGGGTGGGGGAGCACTCAGACATGTGGAGGAAGGAAGATGGTATCAACGGAACACTGAGATCAAAGCCTGCAGGATCCGCAGACATAAATAAGATAAATTGCTGAGACACATGCTCTGACTTCCTCTCCAGGCGCGGGGGGATTCTAAAGGTGACCCACTTTCTGGACACAAGCAGGCAGTGCGCTCCAAGCCAAGCACGTACATGCGTTTTCTCTTTCCTTCCTCACAGCCACACCTGTTGAGATGCTTTGGCCCGTTCTGCGAGAGAGGCAGATGAGGCTCAGAGAGGGGATGTCCCTTGTCCACCCAGGTACACAGCGCAAGAGGTGGCCAAAGTTCTGGGTTTAAAATCTGACAAGGCCGCCTCGTGAGCTGTGTACCTGGGTGGACAAGGGACATCCCCAGGTGGCCTTGGATCATTGCTATCTTTCATCACCATAAAATGCTCTGTGATTCCTGCCAGACTGGCTCAGGAGGGATCCATGAGGCAGGGTCCACTCGCACCTCTTCCACTTTTACAGAAGTTAGCCTAGCCCTAGCACATGACTTCCCAGCCAAAGACTACATTTCCCAGGCTCCCTTGTAGCTGTGGTCATGTGACTAAGTTCTGGCCGAGGAATGTGAGTGGGAATAATGAAGATAAAGTCTGAGTCATGCCTTTGATAAGGGAAAGAGGAGAGAACGGCCCCATTTCTTTCTTCCTGTTGGCGGGGATGCAAAATTGGTGGCTAAAGCCATTTTGGAGCGTGGGATGGAAGACAGAACAAGATAGTGTCACCTCTGACACGCGAACTCATTTTTTTGGTTGATTTTTCTTTGTTAAATGGCATTTAAATATATAAAATAAATATCAAAAATATAAATCTTTGTTTTACTATGGTTGCAAATATCAAAAAATGTCTATATGTGACACGGCACCAGAGTTAAGTTAGGGTTTTTCAAAATGCTGACACGCCGAGCTCAAAAGGTTCACCATCACTGAGATAGAGGAAGCCTGAATTCTGACACTGCGGGTCTCCCATCCTAGATTCCAACCACCTCTGAAGGCTTACACATGAGAGATGACATTTTCCATCTTGTTTAAGCTATGCTGTTCTGTTTTTTGTTTTTTTTTAAAAATATATTTTATTGATTTTTTTACAGAGAGGAAGGGAGAGGGACAGAGAGTTAGAAACATCGATGAGAGAGAAAAATCGATCAGCTGCCTCCTGCACACTCCCCACTGGGGATGTGCCCGCAACCAAGGTACATGCCCTTGACCAGAATCAAACCCGGGACCCTTCAGTCCGCAGGCAGACGCTCTATCCACTGAGCCAAACCGGTTTCGGCCTCTCTCTCTCTCTCTTAAAAAAAAAAAAAAAAGACAGAAGGAGCTAAGGCTGTTTGCTTCCTCATTCTCCCATTGTCTCTGTCCAGTCTGAACTTGTCACTCAAGCAGGGTCTCCCTGACCCCTGTTCCCTGTTTCTCTAACCTCTCCCTCTAGTGGGCCTCTGTCCCCTCTCTCTGGGCCTCTGTCCCCTCTCTCTGGGCCTCTGTCCCCTCTCTCTGGGCCTCTGTCCCCTCTCTCTGGGCCTCTGTCCCCTCTCTCTGGGCCTCTGTCCCCTCTCTCTGGGCCTCTGTCCCCTCTCTCTGGGCCTCTGTCCCCTCTCTCTGGGCCTCTGTCCCCTCTCTCTGGGCCTCTGTCCCCTCTCTCTGGGCCTCTGTCCCCTCTCTCTGGGCCTCTGTCCCCTCTCTCTGGGCCTCTGTCCCCTCTCTCTGGGCCTCTGTCCCCTCTCTCTGGGCCTCTGTCCCCTCTCTCTGGGCCTCTGTCCCCTCTCTCTGGGCCTCTGTCCCCTCTCTCTGGGCCCCTCTCTGTGCTCCTGCCCCTGCTCTCTGCTCCGCTTCCATCTCTCTCGCCGGATGGAGTTCAGGGGATGGAGTTCAGGGGCTGAGCGCCTCTGTGCTCTTACTGCCTGCACCTCCTCGCTGCTCCTGCACGTTCCCCGAGGTGCTGGCTGTCATCGCTTCTTCCATTCCACAGAGAAGGAACCTGAAGCCGGGAGGAGGCTGCTGCTGCTCCCCGCACC